GGGGTTGTGTAAAGTTTTTTTCAAACGTTGTCTTTTGAAGGAGGGGAGGGGATAGTCAGTCAGCATCCTTTAATTTAAAAAAAATAAAGGTTAAATTTTAGAGAGAAAAAAAGAAAGAACATTACTACCCTAGGACAGGCCGAAGGGAGAGAACCCAAATGGCCGCAGGATCAGAAAAGTAAAGTAAAGTAAGGTCAGAATGCACCACTGGTGAGTATTCGAACCAGGGCCATGAGCTCCATAGTTCAGCAAGACACCCCCTGAGCTAACAACGCATCTAGCATTGTTGAGACTACAACAGTGCCGTTTCTTTGCTCAAGGGTAAGGTAAAAAACCGAATCGTCGCGCACTACGCGAACATTGAAAACTAAAAGTCGACAAATAAAAACCGAAATCAACTCGATCAAGAAGGCAGAACTTGATGATCCACAAGGAAGAAAACCAGTACATAGTAGCCCTACATCAAACATACCATTACAGCAACTGCAGCAAACCTGCACTTATCACCACATGGCATTGGACAGAAGGGCGAGAGCCCAGATGTTGCTGGATCCATAACAACAACAATAACATCAAACATACATCATCATAAAAATCATCACAAATGTGGTCCCAGAGACATGATCATACATACAGAATTAGTAACACGAGGCCTGGTGTCAAGGTCATCAAGGGGCATTCGGTGACCCTTACAAAGACGCGGAGGACAACCGTTCATTTACAGTACAATTCGCTACCAAAATGTCGAATCTCTTTTAAAGCGGCCCATCACGGAACAAAGGAACAAAACAGAACGAAACATGAAGTTTGAAGGAATGTTAGAGAGGCTTACAATTACATCTATTCTGTATCTATTCTAAGCTATTGGTTTTGGGGGGTTTTTTCTTTGAAAGTAAAGCGTTTATTTACAGTAGAGTCTTCTCCCACTCAAGACTATCACTATCACAACTTGACGGCAAAGCCAGGGTCATCGCTCTTCTCAGTCAAGCGGGGACACATACAGCTTTGCGGCCTGTTAAGTGCACACTCACTGCCATCATTCAGTCAGATAAAATACTCCGTCCACACCAACTGCCGCCAGACATTCATTCCCAGCTAGGGTAAAGTGTGGACCCCACCCCCACCCTCTCCCCAACCAATCCTCCATAAGACACAACATCTTGCCCAACAGTTACTGTCGGTGTTGCTACACCCCTATGACCACATTTCCCACATTTCAGATACAATATATACCGCCACAAAGCTCTTCATGTGTTATCTCCATCATCAGAACAATGGC